TGGCGTTTCGGATGTTCGTGACCAATACTGACCACTTACCAACAAGTGGAGCAAATGTTCTTTTTTTTTTACCTGGTGTTAAGTGGTTACTGGAGCCCATCGACATCTACAACGTAAATGCGCCACCCACCTTGAGATTTAAGTTCTAAGGTCTCAAGTATAGTTACAACGGCTGCCCGATCCTTCAAAACGAAAGGCATTACTGCTTCACGGCAGAAGTAGCGGGGTGGTGGTACCTACCCGTGCGGACTCACAAGAGGTCCTACCACCAGTAAAAAAGTTCCTCTGCTTTATGAACCAAAAAGGGCAGATTTTTATTATTATTTAAAATGAATGCGTTAGATACGTATTAATAGAAATTAAAATTGTGAGACCGCTCGTAGTTACACTTGTTCATATTTGAAGGATGTCGGTTGACCACGAAATCACCTGCACATCAACACCTCAAAGAAAATAACCGGTCAGATATTTTTAAATTAATTATTTTTTTAATATATGCGCAAATATTCGAAATTCGGATAAAATAATATTTTTCATTTAAAAAAGAAACTTATTATTAACACAGCTGTCCAATTGTTTTACTATACATCAAAACACATGTTTTGAAATTGAATTTGAAGATGTTTATATCTTTGGTGTGTTGGCTTTGAGAATAAAATTTAGTAATTTTGTTTTTTTATTCAGTTTTATTTTTTTAGCGACAAATCCGAAACCGAAGTTCCCATATTTGAATCGTTGTCGCTAAGCTATTACGATTTTAAGGTTTTATCACTTTGATCGCTCCTATGCATCTGTCATACGCTTATACCTACAGACTATTATTTCACGACCAGATAGCCAAAATACTTTAGTAGATAGAAAGGAATACTGTACGCAAATGGATCATAATCCTTGAAGCATGAATTATAAACAAACATACTGTCTTTATTGCATAGATTGATGAACGAGCTCACGACGCAGCTAGTGGTAGTTGGTATCTACAGGCCGCAGACATTACAGGTGATAGGACCTATTGCGAGCCGTCACAGATGGGTGGCACCGCCTTTCTCGTTACTTCGTTCCTGTTTGAAGACCTGGACATTATTTATATTACACGTATAATAGAACTGAGTGCGTTTTCAGAGGTCTTTTTTGCCACGTACCATCCGGCTATGGAATGAGCTCCCCTCCACGGTGTTTCCCGAGCGCTATGACATGTCCTTCTTCAAACGAGGCTTGTGGAGAGTATTAAACGGTAGGCAGCGGCTTGGCTCTGCCCCTGGCATTGCTGAAGTCCATGGGCGACGGTAACCACTCACCATCAGGTGGGCCGTATGCTCGTCTGCCTACAAGGGCAATAAAAAAAAAAAAAAAAAACTGAGATATCGAGTAAAAGTTAAGAACACTTTACACTACGTGACACGGGAACTGGTTCACACATTTAAGGGGATAAAAGAATAAGAAAATAAATACAGGTAAAGCAAAACCTTTATTATTTAAAACTCTTTAGTTTTTCAAAAGGATTTTTCTTCGGTGTCATGAAATAAAGTATGTCGTTCAGTAAAAAGAGAACTCAGTTTTGTATAGTTTATTAATTCGGTTACTGTTTAATTTTTAATATTAATTTTAAAAGAGGTTAAGGGCTTTAAATAATGTTTGTTTATTACAGAAAACGCAATTCAGTATTTTATTGTTTATTCGTTCTGAAATACTCCATAATAATATTATTATACATTTTTACAAACTTAAAGAATTCGATTATCACGCTTAAGGTGTTATTAGAGATGACATTTATTCGCATTGAATAACGATTCATTATCATCTGTTATAGACAGACGGTAATGAATGAATAACAGTGATTTAATTGAGTCATTGAGAAATACGAATTATTTTGTTACACGGGACAACGATAATTATCGTTAGCTAATTCGGAGACCACCCGCATAGCGTTACAACATTCCCTTGAGACGCGATTCGCGTCACACACGAACCTCAGATAAGGCTTGCTGCCCTAATCCCGCGGCTTTCCTGCCTGTTTGTATAACTGTGACCGCCTCACACGTAGCTTGAGATATCCGAAATGCTAAGTCAGAGCGAGTACGCCACGCCAAAGATCTCCTTAATTAAAACTACTTTAATGATTTGGAATCGTATTTTTCTTTCTTTTTTTTTTACTCCACCTTATCCCACTAGGTGAGGTCGGTACAGCTAATTTTTCTCTTCCATTCTCTTCTATCAGCCGTCATCTCAACACTCACTCCTCTCTCTCCACACACTCCATCCATGTCTTCTTCGGTCGACCTCTTCCCCCTCTACCTTGCACTACCATTTACTGTTATTATTAAATTATTATTAAATTTATTTTAAATATTAATATAATAAAAAAAAAAAATTCCAATGTTCCAATTCCAATGTTTGGGACACATAAGTTTGCGTGGTCATGCAAGAAAGTAAGCAATGCGAGATTAAGTTGTTAAATTGGTTTTAATTATATCTACGACTCGCAAAATCCGTAATGTATTAACTAAGATAATAAATGTAATCGAATTCAAAGCTCAGATTACATTAAACGGAATTATTTTTTTATTAATGCTAAGATGCTAAGATAAAACTAGAGCTTATAGGAAAACATTAATTTCGACACCGTCAACACGGGACAGCATGATTACTTTGGGCCAGAAAAGAATGACTATGCTTCCATTGCGGGCTTACAACGTGCACCGCTATGAGTACTCAATAGCGGAGGAGTAGAGGAAGTAAGATTTTTTTATAAGAACATAATTTCCAAAAGAATTAATGCTACAAAAAATATCGAAACTTGGATAAAACTAAGCAATGCCTAATGTATCAATCGGCACTGCGACGTTGACTTACCGTCGGCACCGGTGCGCTTAGTGTGAGTTTTTAAACGTTCTCGATAGCGTAAAAGTTATCTCATATTTGTATGGGATGGGATCGTTTGCCTACGTTTGCCGCTAGGGGCGCTGTTTTAACTGCATACGAAATTGGGTTAACTTTTAGCTATCGAAAACGTAAAAAAAGTCACACTAATCACACTGCATCAGAGATGAACGTTAACAGAGCTTACGAAGCGATCCTTCGACCGGCACACCAATCAAACGTAGGGTGTGATTTGGTGTAGTTAAAATTGAAATGAATCAGACTTGAATAGTCAATCGATCTACTGCATATTTTCCGTTTTTTAACGCATGGACGAATGAATCATATCAAGAGGCTACTAGAACCCATGGATCACAATGTGCATGCCACCATTCACCTTGAAGCATGATATCTAACTCTTAATTACGGCATGACGACTGTCTTGAGGCAGAAATAGGTTCCTAGCGATCAAACAAAAAGTCATACGACCAATTCCCTATTCCTTCATTGTGGAAGTCGATTGTGAAAAATTGGTAGCTACCCGCGCGATGCGAACACCGGCCTAGTCGCTCTTAATGAGTATACTGGGCGTCTTATCCTTTAGGCCACGACGACTATCATCTATACTAATATTATAAAGCTGAAGAGTTTGTTTGTTTGAACGCGCTAACCTCAGGAACTACTGGTCCGGTTTGAAAAATTCTTTCAGTGTTAGATAGCCCATTTATCGAGGAAGGCTATGGGCTATATAACATCACGCTAAGACCAATACAGGCGGAGCACCAATAAGGAATGTTTCAAAATCGGGGTTTTTTCCCTTTTGAGAGCTTCCACTGCGTGCGCTGCGGAAACGGTTAAAGCTTCGCTAAAGTAATGTGTAAGTGAATTGTTCCCCTTTAAATGACCTAAAAAAGTCCGCGACAGCATATGTCTATATATTAAGGTTGGCTCACTATAACGTTTTTTATGTTAAACACATTTGTTCTAAAGCATTATTTGTGAACTATTCCACGCGGACGAAGTCGCGGGCAAAAGCTAGTTTTACTTAAAAATATAACTGCTATCTGGTTTTTTTTATAATACCAAGACCCTTTTATTTTAATTTCCAAAGAGTAGCTAGCGTACTTAACCGAACGTGGATGCCGGGACCTATAAAAGTGTTAAGTTCAAATCGGTATAGATTATTACTTAATGGCGCCATAATTTAATCAAATAATACACTCAGAGCTAATAGTGTAGTATCACAAGATGTCAATTTAATGTCTGGTACTGGTATTAGGTGTAAATTATTAATAAAATAAAAAACTCAGCAATTTTTCTTAATGCAGATAATTATTTGTAGTTTATTATTTTGTTAGTTGAACAAATTCTTAAATTAAGTAGACTCTTTTTTAGTTGTATTCCTATCGATGTATTGTTATTGATTTAATGATATTCACTGATTTAATTTGGAACTTTTTTTTAATAGTTGAGTGAGTTCTGACCAGTATAACCTTAGGCTTTCTGCTTGTAGGTTCTGACCTGGTACTGCGTCTATAAAAATCGGTACGTCATTTAGAAATGAAATTCACAAATCATTACTCGAAATTATTTTATAATATTTTATTCTTAAAAATTATATTACACAAAAAGAATATTCTACAAGTACAACATTTGACCGGCGTTCAAAATGAATTCTGAATGATTTTATTCAAAAATACAAACTTTCGATAATTCCGCACAACAATTTTATAATAAGATAGTATTTACAATGTGACTTAATTTATTCATACCTACTTTGTACACAAAATGACTAGATAAATGTTACTTAACAATAATATTATTTGCATCTCGATTGAGGGCATAATAAATATACACATAAACAAACTGTCTGTTTGCGATATTAAATAAGAATAAATTATCTAAAAGTATTGTCTTTTTAATTGGCAAATAAAACGGAATTCCCTAAATGATTACATGCGTTAACTGATGTATTTACATTTCACGTACACATTATTACTGTTTGAAGGTACTTACAAAACAAGAAAACGTTGAATTATTACAAGACTCGGTAACTACTGGATTTGGAATTTTCATCGATATACCTAGTACATACAAATTATTTTTCAAAATGTTCATTTTAATATTTTCATTTATCCGTCTTTACACTCGGCACCTAAGAACACTTTCTTTGGCCTAATAGAACACAGAGCCGGCGTTTACCGACGGCGGGTTTTAGAACGGGGATGGAGTTGACACGCACCCGTTCAGAAACATTCACCTTGCCCAGTCGTCGGGCGGACTGTTCCCGGGGTGCAGGGGCAAAAACGCGCTTCTCCTCGGCTCTGACATTGAATCTTGTGAGCCAATAATGGACTCTATTGAAAAACCGTTGCGCGATCTCTTACTGCGAGGTTCCGTAGTCTCAGAGACCCTTGGCGGTAGGGGCACAGGCCGCAGCGTTGCTGGAGGCGGACGAGGTAGGGCCAGCAGTGGCGTGGGCGGTAGATAACACGGTAGAGGCAGCAGCGGAGCGTAAGCCTCCCTCGCCAACATGGCCACAACCGCGTGAGCGTGTTGTAATGAAGGAGCCGGTCTTTTGTACCTTTTCCGGCGCCTCAGGAAGCTCCCGTTGTCGAACATGTCCTCGGCCAACGGGTCCAGCGTCCAATAGTTTCCTTTCCCAGGATTCCCGGGCTCTCGTGGAATCTTTATAAAGCAATCGTTCAAACTCAAGTTATGCCGTATCGAATTCTGCCACGCCGGAAACTTTTCTCTATAATACGGAAATCTTGTCATAATGAACTCACAAATACCACTCAGAGTCAGCTTCTTGTGCGGCGACTGAAGAATCGCCATCGTTATTAAAGCAATGTACGAATATGGTGGTTTGATGAGTTGAGAAGACGATTTCTGTTTGGGTTTCTTCGGTGAGGCAGGCTTTTTGTCGGTCGGGCTGGGCGCGTCGTATCTCTCGGAGTCGCTGGACGGCGGCGGCAAGTCTGGCGTGTCTTCGTCCACGGAGACGTAGGTGTCGTCTTGCGGATATTCCGGATCTCCATCGTCGCGCAGGTAATGAGGTAAATAGAGGCGCGGCGGCGGCCTCAAGTCCAGAGGTAGTTCCCCTTCGATGATCATGTCGCGGTACTGGGCGAGATCACAGTCTTCCATGCTGTACGGTCACATGTCAGAGGTGTGGAGGGTCGCGTGGCGCGGCACCGACTGCCGTCCGCACGGAGGCCTGCCCCGGGCGACTCCGCCCCGGCGAGCCCCCGCCCCGGCCCGCGTTACGTTCCACTAAACACAACAATTGTCGTTATTATTACTGCGGCCCGAAGCTTTGTGCATGAATTTCAGGCCGACGACTAATAATTATTAGGCCGCTCGGCGTTTATCGATTCAACTTTGTTGCGGTATTTATTTTGCGTTCGAGTTCAATGCTTTTGTCTCGTTTTGAGATTCAAGAATGAGGAACGTTTTCACGATTTTATACGGATATCGAATTTTTAATTCAGAATTGGATTTTGAATCTACAAAACTGTGTAATTTCAGTTTCGATTATAATTTAATTACATGGAAATAGTGTTGTGTGAAAAATCGATAAATCGATATTCAAAATTAAATTATTTTTAATCAACATTCTTATTCAATTATTTTCATGGAAACAAAGAAGCTTAGAATAAATACATCGAATGAAACAAACGAAATTCAATTATAATATAACACGTTCGTTCGTAGCTCAAAGCAGACTGGCTGTTTACTGAACTATACGAGCATCCACTAATCCGAAAAAGATATCTCATAAAAGACGAAATTGTACCACTCCATTCAGGTAGAATATCTTCAAATAAGGCTCGCGTAAAAAATATTCAGAAACGTCGTACCACAATGCGAACTGGCTCTAGAAAGCCCTCGTATATGTTTCCTACCATAACATTTACCCCTCGGGCGTCGAGGGAAAAGCTACACGAGAGACAAGAACAGAAATCAGCTCCGATGAGACGGAGCATAATGCGAGCCAATGGTGGAGCTTATTCCGTTGGGTGGAGCCTGCCAAAGCTAACATGTCAGGGCGTGGCCCGGGATCCTATTATTGTCTGGCAACCCAAATAATATTTTGCACAATGTACACATTGGGCTGAAGGGGCCGCGTGGGGGGTAGCTAATTTATTCCCAACTTCGGTTACGGCTTGTTTTTCAGCTTTGAAAGCCTGTTATTTAAATTGGACGAAGCGAGTTATTTGTATGTAGCGTCGGACGCATTGTTGCCTTAATCAAAGAATTTCAGCTCGGTTTGTTTGTGGCGCGTTCAAATTTCGTATTTTCCGATTCTGATGAATCGGTTTCAAAGGATTTCGCGTCTGATATTTTACGGGTAACGTTTTCGTGTTTGACTTAAGTATTCTTTGACGCGGATACGAGACTATGACGAATATGTTTTTTTTTTGTCAAGCAGAAATTGTTTTGTTTTTAAATACTTAGGTACACCATACACAAATATGAAAATTAGTTCTTTAAATTTAGCGTTTATTTATGACAAGCGGCCCGCTCCGGCTCCGCTCGGGTCTTTAACAAAATTTCAACGATATTTGATTTTTTTAAATAAAAGAACACTTATTGTGGCATATGCTGTTGTGACACTTTTTGTAAATAATAATGTGTTCTACAAAGTCGTAGTACATTATTTTATTCTATCATCAATCGTTTTCGCAGGGAACGCGATGTAAAGAATATTTTAGGAATTTTTTTTACACCTTGGGGTACGTTATTGGAGTTTTAGTAAGGATCCTTAATTTTTTAAAAAAAAAAGATTATAGCCTATGTCACTTGGGAATAGTGTAACTTCCAAACAGTGAAAGAATTTTTCAAATCGGTTCAGTAGTTTCGGAGCGTTTTCAATACAAACAAACAAACATTTCCTCTTTATAATATTAGTGTAGAAGTGTAGATGTAGAAAACGGGTTTCTTCTGTGAGTTAGATATACGAATTATCATTTTTATGGGAAGAAATTGTAACAAGTTTCTATCGGGTGCCTGCCACTATTCTCTCTGTATATTGCAAGGCAGCAATGTTACTTGAAGCGTGGTATAGCCGTTATCAAAGATAATTGAAACTTCAATCTCTCTTATCAAGTTAGGTATTGGAATTTAGGTTATAATAGATTTGAGTAATTACTCACACCAGTGGGGCTCTGAGCTCGTTTATAGATTTACTACAAAAATAGAGGCGGCACGCTATTCCGACGCTATTTTGTTGCCGCGCACGCTAAATTAAACTCTATATATTTATAACGCTATCACAATTTTGATTCACTAACCCATGCATCAGCTCGCTGAGTTTCTCGCCGGATCTTCTCAGCGGGTCGCGATTCCGATCCGGTAGTAGATTCATTCGCGAAGCAGCTGCGCTTGAGTTGTTAGGTCATCTTCGGAGGTGTTCGGGCAGCTGTTAGCAAATTCCGCCCCTACTGGGTGAGCCTTTGCTCGCCCTCCTGTCCTGGTAAAACTGGAAAGGTCTCCGTGCCAGCAGTAATACATCAATCATAAAAAAAAAGTGATTCGAATGTTAATATTATTACTGTTTAGAAAATATACCTATCTAGTTTAATACGCTCATAGGAAAGAGTAAAATACATCGGAATACATATTTTTTATATTGCCCTAGTAGGCAGACAAGCATACCGCGGAGACGAGCGTCGTTGGTGGTCGACTACCCGTCGGTCGGGCGTCCTCGGGGTGGCGCCGCGTGTCTGGTTGTAGTGTTGACCGCGGACACCCCCCTACTCTGACTGGGTTCTGACCCCGGAAGGAGATCGGACGTCGGGTGTAAGAGTGCAGGGGAGTCGTTTAGTGCGGTAGGGCCCTAAAATTCCTTGGGCCCGCGGTCTGCTCCCAACCTGCAGATCGTCAAGTCTCACATACACCGCGCGCCCCCTAGGCGCGGAGACCCCGTAGGAGGTTCGGACCCGGCCCGAGAAAAAAAAGTAGGTGACGAGCATACGACACACTTGACGGTGCGAGTTTAACGTCACTCATCGACGTCAGAAATGTCAGGGGCAGAGCCAAGCAGCTGCCTTTTTTTCCCCCACCTAAGCTGATCACTTTGAGAGGCTATGTCAGCGTACCCTACTAAGTAAATGAGCTCACGGGGCTTAAACCTGACGTCGTTGCTAACACTAACCCTAGCAAGAGCAGTGCTTCGCAGAATCTACCACCGGATCGGAAACGCGACCCACTGAGAAGATCACCGCTTTGCAAAAACTAACAACGACTTCGCCGACATGAAGATCGTAAGTCTGCTGAGTGTAATAGTGCTGAGAGTGTGCTGAGCTAATTTTCACATAATTTGCAGATACTTCTAAAGGATTATTGAAAAAAAAATACCTTATTAATTAAGGGTGCACGGAATCTTAACGATTTTCCTCAAATGTAGATGGATTTTCATAATTCATTCTGTTATGTATAAAAGACATATCAAACTATTAAAATAAAAGATTTTTTTCGCAATAAATCATTTTTTTTAATTAAAAAAAACATATCTCCGCAATAGTCGGAATTCCAACGCTCCGCACTTTTTACGTATTAATAGAGAAACGATCTATCGACGGTTCTCGCTCTAAAAGAAAAACAATTTTAGGACGGATATTTTTATAGGTATGGTCATTTATAACAGTTATAATTAAGATTTTGAGTAAATGCAAATTCTACCGTGGACTAACTTGGAAGCCATGTTTCTCTGAGGTTAGTTAAATAAATTAAATCACCTACACTTATTAATTAATTTTGTGACCGCTTACTATTTATATCCTATAAAGAGGTATGGTACATGCTTTTTATTTTGAAGGATTTGACGGTGTCATCCCATATATTAAAAAAGTTTTTTTTTATTGCCCTTGTAGGCAGACGAGCACCTCGAAGCGCCTTCTCCCATGTTGAGGCATAGATCGAAGTTTCATTTGCATAGATATTTTTTTATTGTCCTTGTAGGCAGACGAGCACACGGCCCACCTGATGGTCAGTGGTTACTGTCGCCCATGGACTTCAGCAATGTTAGGGGCAGAGCCAAGTCGCTGCCTACCGCTTAATACTCTCCATAAGCTTCGATTGAAGAAGGACATGTCATAGCGCTCGGGAAACACCGTGGAGGGGAGCTCATTCAATAGCCGGATGGTACGTGGCAAAAAATACCTCTGGAAACGCACTGTCGATGAACGCAGCGGTTCCAGATAATATGGATGAACTCTGCTCCGATAGTGGGAGGTGGGATGATAAAAAGGAGCTGAAGGGATCAAATTCAATTCAATTTTCTTACTGGTGATAGGATGTCTTGTGAGTCCACACGGGTAGGTACCATCACAATGCCTATTTCTGTTGTGAAGCAGTACTGCGTTTCGGTTTAAAGAGTCGAAAACTCATTGTATTGTAAAACTGAGATTACAAATTAATTTCTTAAAACATGGTTCCCGATATTTAGGCTGTCGATGCCTACAAAAATAACGGTAAGCTAGATAGAAATTTTAAAGTCACCTGCAAGTTTACAATCTACACGGCGACCGAACAAATCCAGGATAATCCCGCTTATCTTAGATATTGAAATGTTTGCCGGCCAGGACTTTGTGATGGATTACACGGAATGTTTACTGAGCCTTTGAGCGCTGGGTAAGCTGATAGCGAAGTCTTATTGGGAAATTTGTGTAGTTTTCTTTATTTTCTTTTCATGGTTCTGGTTAGCTCAGTTGGGCTCATCCAAAACATTTTTGTTTCAAAATGATAGCCGAAGTCGATCATCGCGCTAGTTTCCTAGGGTAGGGTCCTAAAGACGTGTAGTTTTTTTTGCTTTGGAGGTTTGGATTAATACCTCAGATACCTCAAAGACTTTTTCCAGATTTGCCGGGACACACTACAAACTTAAGGGCTGAGCCACAAGGTCAAGAGTTACTAACAGCTGCACTAGTGGCCCCAGAGAAAGCCTAACACCTCAAGACAGCTGCTTCGCAAATGCATTTACGCACGAATGCTTCTGAAGTCGTCGTGGCTCAGGTATAGGATAAGACGTCCGGTGCATATCATCTGCCATCGCTTTCGTAATAGCAACGGTTACCATAGCAACTGTTGCTCTGGAAACCGTTGACAACGAATATAATGACCAGAGAATGGCAGAGGCAACTCTTGTACGGAAAAAATATGGTACATCTAATCATCAGGGCACAGATGTCCACTGCTCGACATAAGCCGCCCCTTATATCGCTTACTCGCGTTTGGACGGTAGGGTAGAAGATGAACGTCATTCTAATGGACTATAAGTTAAGCGGATCCAGCGGATCCCCGCGACTTTTAGCAGGTCGTCGGTCCCCCTCGTGAGAGACCTATCCACCAAGAACTTTTCGGCTCCAGTGACCATCTGCTCTATAAGCAATGCACCCTGTCCACAGTCATTCAATCTTGCAATCCTTTGGGCAGTGTCAGTTACCTTGATTCTTCTTCTGATTCCTGATTCGATTTCGCAAGGAAACTCCGAGTATAGCCCTCTCCATTGCTCTTTGAGTGACTTCGAGCCTTCTGATAAGACACATTGTGTTAGTTAAATAAGAATTAGATAAAAGTAGTTAAATAATAATTGAATAAAATCGAACGTAAATTTTGGAAAACGAAAATGAAAATCTGCAGTTTGGTAGGTACCTAATCTAAAAAAAGAAAAAAATATGTTAGCTTTTTTACATTTTAAATTTCTATTTTTTTATTGTCGATTTATTCAGGTGAGCATACGGCCCTCCTGATGAGTGGAGACCGTCGCCCATGGACTTCAGCAATGCCAAGGGCAGAGCCAAGCCGCTGTCTACCATAATTTTGCTGCAGTAACGCCATTTTGTTTTGTTTTTTTTTATTGCTTAGATGGGTGGACGAGCTCACAGCCCACCTGGTGTTAAGTGGTTACTGGAGCCCATGGACATGTACAACGTAAATGCGCCACCCACCTTGAGATATAAGTTCTAAGATCTCAGTATAGTTACAACGGCTGCCCCACCCTTCAAACCGAAACGCATTACTGCTTCACGGCAGAAATAGGCAGGACGGTGGTACCTACCCGCGCGGACTCACAAGAGGTCCTACCACCAGTAAATTTTACCAGTAATAAGTATTTACGCCCGCTTAAAATTAATATACAAATTCAATAACCTGTCAACATCACGTGAGCCATAGACTAATTTGTTTTCGATGCAGTTAAAAAACACAAAGCTCGGTCTACTTACTGTCCATAGTGTTATGAAAGATTTCCTTCAGTCTTAGAAATTAAATTGAAAAATGCTATTAAAATGACATAATAATATGTTAAAAACTTTCATCCAAGTAAGTACCTAATTGAAATTTCGTGCTGCATGAAAACTACATATTTCCATAGAAATGCTTAAATATTTTGTATCCCCTTAAAACTGAGATTTCTAACAATGTTTCGTAGTGAATTTTTATAACTTAAAAGGCATCGACTACCTAGTACCTAAATTTCAAGTTTATAGCTTCAACAGCTTGGGCTCTGCATTGATAAATTAGTCAGTCAGGACAAAATATGATGAATTTTAAACAAATGATAATTTTAATACTTACTTTAAAACTTATTTTAATACTTTTATAAATAATTTACGTTAATTCTGAAATTATAAAAGCTGACTGATGACGACATATAATATTGTAATACATTAATCGTGGACTCGCATGTTTTTAGCGGTTTAAATTATTGAACATTTATTCACCATTATTATTATTTGGTACATTTCAGTTCGTGTACTTCTCTAGTCGACAACGCCACCTATTTAACAGAAATCAAAACAATTTCAAATGTTCAGCGCCATCTACCTCTACGTTTGTCAGTTTTACTTTTGTTTTGAGAAATGGTATGAAAATAAAATAGATGGCGCTAAATATTTTTATCTTTTAGTTCGTCAAAATAGCGTAGGATGGCAGTGTTAAATAAGAATGTAACTCCTTGAAATTAATCCTTGCCATTATCAATAACATCAATGTCTACGTTCTTCAATTCCTTCAATTCACATATTAACAAAGCTCTAAAACTAAGATTCAGGTCTTGTAGTGTTAATTATTTTTATCAACCTAGTAAGTATTACCTAATAGGTACCGACCCAGTTATTTCTATTTTTTAAACTCCTGTACTATAAATTGTGTCATCAAAAAGTATTCCGTTATAAATCTATAAAAGAGTGCCTTCTGCAGAGATTTAAATTTTTAACTACATAAATTCGACGTATACAGAAGTTAATTGACTTGATTTTTAGGGATGTCTCTTTGTCAAAAAAGCATAAAGATTCAAGTATTATATCATGCTTTTATTTACTAATTTTACAAAAAAAAATTTTACATGTATCAGATGATTAACAGTATTGAATGATTCCTATATTTAAGGCGGCTACCAAAAAAACGTGAGGGGAATTTTAAGGATGACTTCCGATTTATGCGACTCCGTCGTTGAGTCAGTCGCAGCGGTTGCAAAATTTACATTAAAACTTCAGCTCGTATAGTGGTCCACGCAATATCGAATGTCAGAATAAAAAACTACCTATATCTGTAAATATTCTTTAACAAACTTATTAAAGGCCATTAGAAATATTCTCCGTGAGCTCACCTACTAGCTCGGCGAATCTAGAATAACCCCTCGAGGCTACTAGACTAGATAGGAAGAGGAAAAAAAAACAAATAAATGTGCTTTTAATTAAAAAATAGAACTAGATATTATATTTACTATAAATACAGTATTTGTATTCATGTATCTATGATAACCACTCAATCCCCTTATCCTCTGTCTGCAACAATAAAAAAAAAAAACAAAATGTGTGCAATTCACACGTGGTAGAAGTGAAACCTTCCAAAATTAAAATACAATTATCCAAAGCGTCTCTAACTCATTACTGCTTCACGGCAGAAATAGGTAAGGCGGTGGTACCTACCCGCGCGGACTCACAAGAGGTTCTACCACCAGTAAAAAAGTACTCGTAAAACAGCATTTAAACTGCTTTTTTACGTTTTAGATTTTCCCGCAGTTAATGTATCCAGTAGCATCCAACGTCGGTAACCGTACTCTTCGAACTCGGCAAAGAGTTCGAAGTGCAACCTTGCCTAAACATCAGCCCGCTGAATTTCTCACCGGGTCGCGATTCCGATCCGATATCATTCACGAAGCAGCTGCTCTTGAGTTGTTAGGTCTCCTTTAGAGGCGCTCGGGCAGCTATTAGCAAATCCTATCCCTCCTCGTTGAGCCCACGCGCCCACCTGTCCCGGTGAAAGGCCTCCGCGCAAACAATAATCCCTCAACCATAAAATAAAGCATCCAACAACAGCATTCAGTTAAAGTGGTAAAGTTTAACCAGGTAGTGATTTATCACGTTTATGATCTATCGATAACTTTACCGCAATCCTTCAAACAAATCACGCACGATCATCCGACCCCAATTTAGGATTTTGACGAAGCATGTTGCGGATAATAACATGTACTTTTAGGTTAGGAATATTGTGTTCTTTTTTTATAATAAATTAATTAATTATGATTATATTTAGGATTTCACTGTGTTATGAGTACTAGAGACTGACATGGATACTTAAATACCTTTTTTTTTTTTTTTTAAATGAGTACCTAGATAGATAATAAGCGCCCATACAAAGACCAAACAAACCTGCACATGAGTTTGCCTGATGCACGAATTTTCGAGATATTATGCGGTCTTCAAGTTGGTGAAAATGACCTTCAAACATTCTATTACACAAAAACAAAAATACATACAATCAAGCTAATAAAAGCGTGTAAAAAAAGTATGTAATAAATATCATATAATATTTATAGAAAAAAATCTACTGGTCCGATCTCGATAAAAATTTCAATGAATCACATGAGAAGTACCATGTTTTAAATTAAAAAAATACCCAATTAAAATCGTTACCCAAAGAAAAAGTTCTGTGGTAGTAGCACACATAAAAAAATACCTTCGAATTCAGAACCTGATCTTTTTTTTAAATCGGTCAGAAAGTAGACGCACGGCCACTGTTTAATTAATTAATTCCCAATTTCTCCGTGAATAAGCTGTCAGAAATTTTTATGACAAGTAATTTCCTGCTTAGCTTTAGGGTTCCTTTGTTAAAAAACTACAAATAAATACAAGTGTGTGTCCCACTGGGTAGTCGCTACCGATTACGAGCGGCATTTCTTTGTAAAAAATATTCTATTGTTATAAGCTTACATCTCACGTGGAAGATGATATAGTGACAACAATTTATGTTTGTATCGAAACTGGGGGACATTGGAGAATCAAATAAAACTAAATTAGCAACTACATCTCATAGTCTAAGATCCGGCTGCGAAATTAGTACATGAATAATTTAGACTATCAAAATTTAATTTTTAAGCATTTTTACAACCATGGGAAGTCATTTCATTAGGTGCCAATCAAAAATTGCCCGCTAGTATTATTAATTAAAATATTATTAATTTAATTTTAGAAAAACATTTCGTTTATGCCAGCTGAACGTGTTTTTACATACATTGAGCATCCTTGTCCCAATGTTAAATTATGGTCATTTCTGAATTCTAAATAGATAGTTTATTTTCTAAATGCAGCGACAAAATTTAGTCAGGCGTAAATATAGATAGCGATATTTACGCCTGACTTTGAAAAGTAGAGCTTCATACATCCTACTGAGATTTTATTGATATTTTTATTGCCTTCAATGATAAATGACAATACGGTTCATTATGGCATGAATATTCACTGTTGTTCATCGACATCAATAATGCCAAGCCGCTGCGCACCGCCAGTGTTGAAGGCAAAATTGCATAATAAATTTTTCAAAATATTGCAACTGCTTAGTTTTGAAAATAATACTAAATAGAAAAGAATCACGTGACACCATTTTGATTAAAAATCGGTACTTAATTCTAATACGAAGCAACTCTTATTCTGCAAATGCGTGGTCGTTGGCATCAGTTAGCATTATACTAAATAAATAGTCGGTGTTCACGTTCTTCACAATTTTTGACATCTCGTTTTTCGCTCTTGTGTTTCTGAACGAACCGTCAGTACGCGCGCGCATGCGCTCGGTGTTTGACGTGAGATTATTATCAAATTATTTTTCAACAACGAATATTTCGTAACATCGATGCAGTGAAAAGTGTTATTTTTATTGTTGTAGATTAAACTCTGGACTATTAAGTTTAAAGATGGACAGAACCGAGAGAAAAACGAATTCGCGTAATCATTCAGTCACGATAGATCGAGATTCTAAAATGATACTGCGAAAAATAATACTGGATTTCTTGATACTTTTTTGCGGTAAGCTTAAAATTCTGAATTAAAAATGTAATCTATACGTTTAAATAGTTATTTTTATTACTCTGAATCATTGAAGCTAGTCTAAAATAGGGTTATCTAATATTAAAGTAGGTATTTGACAAAGTTTGATGAAGTTATTGATAAAAATAATTATTAATACTAAATGTGAGTCACGGCTTATATTAGTAAGATGTCAAAAATTTATAAAAAATTGATAACGACTTAGTTAAACACTTTAATTTAAAATATAATATACATACACACTCATCACTTTTTTATTATTTTAATACCCCTTGGGTCTGGAAGTTATTTCTTAAAGAAATAAGCAATGCCATTGTACTTTTTTCTATAATTTTCTGTTATATTATTCTATGTTCACATGAATAAGATAATTAAATATATTAAATATATCAGTGAAATAAAAATATGATATAACAATAACGATAATAAAAGTTTTGCTATGTGTTGATTGGATTCTAAATCATATAACTGTTGTGGTAATTAAATAATCATCTTATGGTCAAGCTCAAAGTGATTTTTGTTAAAATTATTTATTATTAATAATGGCATATTGATCAGCTTATTTATAAAATTTGAGAAAAACTGAAATATCAAAAAGAAATTAAAACAATATTAACAAATAAAAAACAAATTCAAAATTAATAGTAATTTTTAGGTTCTTTATATAATTTATTTTATTTAATGGCATAAAGTTTGTCTTGACTTCTATTATTGTCGATAGTTTGAGATTATGTAACAAATTAATGTGTATTATTTTTAATCGGTGTCAAAATTACTGATCTTAACTTATAAGATATTTAAAGTGTAATTAGTGCTGTTGACTCTGAATATACTAGAATATATATACTTAACGTCATGAGAGCTCAGCAATTGGGACTAACCCCCAAAAATGAGAAAGTCCCATTCTTTTAAATGATATTTTGAAAGAAAAATGCAAATAATTTAAGGTCTCAAATAGTTCTTCCAATTTACAACAATGTAACACATAAATTGATCTATTGAATTATTACTCGCACAAACAATCTTTCAAATAAACATGAATTTTGTGCGCATTTTCATATGATGCTTCATTACTTTTTGCCATAAATTTATTAATTATTTGTGTAAACTATTTGTTTAGCATATCCACATTTATTCACTTGACCTATAATGGTGCAAAACAAAAATGTGATTTGGAAATTTCAGTGCAATCTACATAAAATGTTGTATCTATGTACTAAATTAACTCTATTTCGGTTTTATACTCTAAGACTAAGATCTTGATTTCATTTAAATTTCAAAAGTTGTCGGTAATGTTGAATATGGAATCCCTTTGCTTGAGATTATATGGAAAAAGAGTTCTAACCACATTTAAATTTTGTTAATTGTAGACATTAAAATAGATAGAATTGAACATCCCTAAAATATATACTTAGTATTACAGATTAAATAATAATTTTATACAGATTAAAGTCTTAAGTTAAATATGTCAAAGACTTTTTTTGACTATCCGAGAGTCAAGCGACATTAAAATCGTCATTAAGTTTTCCGTCGGACTAGAATCGGAACAGGACAATGGGGAGCCCATGAGGTGTCTCCGCAATTATGGCCATAAAATGTCGCTTTATCACCCCAAGCACTGTCTCGACTACCTGCCATATGACCCTGTTTCATTGACTGCACCCAAATTGTTCCAATAACAAAATATCAGTACACCTCGGGGATTGATAGGGCTACCGCGCTTTTATTTTTTAATTTATTTAAGAATTCTACTAAGTGGTTGCCATCCCTATATATGCGTCGTATCATATCTATGCGTATATCTATTTCCGTTGACGGGCATCTTGTGAACCTATGTACATGAGTATATTTCTTTTTAAAACAACACATTTGACAAATATGGAAGATTGCCTTTAAGTAAATGTTCTGTGTTTAAATCTTCTATCAATGCTTCTTATACTGTTATCTTCACATATACGGAACCACCGGCTATCTTCGTCAACCACGTGGTGTTTTTTTTCCCTACGTAATCGCTGGGAGTTTAAGGGACTATTCCACCTATTTACGAGTACAGTAATCACTGCCCTGCTTATTTCATCCGTGAAGCAGCTATCCGTTTCGGCCCGAAATGTAGGCAAGCTGTTGTATTCTACAAATGAGACCCAGACCTCATGAGTGACGTAATTTATGTTTTGATGTCTATGGGCATCGGTAACCACTCGACACCAGATGGATCGATACTCGTTCACCTCTACAATACTTATTAATAAATAAGACTGTCTAACTATAAAAATACGAACATTGAAAATCTGAAGGCAGGAAAGTGAACAATAACTACAGTATGATTTGCTTCAAGGTTGCGTGACTTTTAATAATTTCATGAATATGTAACTCGTTTATGTGTCAATACGTTCGCGTGAGCCGCCGTTTGAATAATTAAAACAGTAAGACTATCGTAGAGCAAGGTGACACTACAAAACTGGCATATGTTCGAATTTTTTTCTACCTATGCTCGTAATCTCGAAGGGTTATGCCTGCGCAACCGGGTGAGTAGATGAGTTCACGGGGTTCTAACTTGGTGACGTTGCTACCACTAGCCCAAGCGCGAGCAATGCTTCGCAGAATCTAAAACCGGACGGGAAACGCGATCTACTGAGAAGATCCGGCGAGAAACTCAGTAGGCTGTGTCTGAGCGTGATACGTTCACGCGGCCCGTACTCACATGAACTCTCTCCAGATCATCCAATTCTATTTCTGCAGGATATCCGTAGGAGCACCGTGGTATCTGACATTAATTTTTATATCGTTTCGTTCGCATATAGAAGTGTTAGTCTTTATATTGAAAATTAAAAGGCTCGAATTATGTGTTCGACTTTCAATGAGCAAGTTATTTACGCAACTGTCTCTTATGAAATTAAACAATGTAAATATGTACATTGCTAGCGGGCTCCCAGCCGTGACTATTCGTGTAGCACACTTCGCGCTACTGATGATGAGTTTGAGAAAAACTGAAAACATTTTTGTACGTTTCCAGACTTTTCCTTTGAGGGCCTTAAGGATTTTGACTGACTCGCTGGGGCAGAGATAACCATTTGTTCCCAGTTATTTATATATTCATAATATAGCTTTAAATACTTATTTTGGAACGAAGTTCCTTATGGGACGATGCGGAGGGGTACCCTAACCGGGAAAAAACGTCCGTAACGTAAGATTTTTATTAGTAATGCACACAGTGTACGACTTAACTTTGTAATAACGTACAAAAAATAACATATTTTTTTATCATGCATTGACCACGATCTCAGAGCGTTCGTTTGCGCAATACACTAATTCTTATGCAAACAACCGTGAATGAAGTGTACCACAATAAGTTCGCACGTTACCGACTGACCGTGGGTTGTTGCGAAAGCTCCAGTTAATTTTTTTTATAGCTCGAATAGAACTTAAAATTAATTCAGAGACAATAGAGTCAGAGGCAGATATTGACGAATACCTTTTTACCTGCAGACTTAGAACTGAAAATGTCTAAAATTATAATTCTTAACGTTAGATGAGACGAGTATGTAACTAATATATACTCGAAAGGTATGCTGACGATTACAAATAAAATTGATCATGTTACAATGATTCCGCTATTCCACCTACTGAACTCGATCCTGGTCATCTACAAAGAAATTTAATCTATAACTTGACACGATGATCCCTTTTATGTTCCGAACGACAGTAGTTTGATTACGTATCACTTTCAAAGAGTAATTATTCTTTATTATTATTGTATTAAAAAGACACGTGCTTCTCGGATACCGTCAGAGACAACGACGTGTTTTTTTGAAAAAATATACTGTCTGGCAAAGAGACCTTTAAGTCAACTAGGGCGCGAATGCTTCTACGCGCGAATTGACACATTCAAACCAAGACAAATATTCTCCTAAAAACCAAACGGTTGATAAAATTTATAGAAATTTTCATCTAATTATCACCAAGAAAAAAAATGAAATTCGACTGATAATTACAGCAAGATGTTAATCAATTATCCAAACGATCTGTATGCCAGCTATTAGTGTAACAGCGTATTAACCTGGAACTTAACAGAATGTAATGGTTAGTCTACATAAATGTACGGACAGCAAATCAAATAGTTGGCACATCCGATGGATCGTCAAAACATTTAAATAACTCCCTTCTATCCTCATCGGCGCAGGATGTGAACCGCGGGACGAGACATCAACTAAAGTGGCAGGTAATTGGCCGCCTGTCAAAACAACCGACGCGCTCCCGCGACCTGTCGGATTATGAGTATCCGTTAAAGAGGCTTCGCTTCGTACCGGCCGATTATAAACCCCTAACCGTCCCGTGACTTGACGAGGATTCGTTTTTTTTTTATTGCTTAGATGAGTGGACGAGCTCACAGCCCACCTGGTGTTAAGTGGTTACTGGAGCCCATAGACATCCACAACGTAAATGCGCCACCCACCTTGAGATATAAGTTCTAAGGTCTCAAGTATAGTTACAACGGCTGCCCCACCCTTCAAACCGAAACGCATTACTGCTTCACGGCAGAAAATAGGCAGGGTGGTGGTACCCACCCTCGCGGACTCTCAAGAGGTCCTACCATCAGTAATTACGCAAATTATAATTTTGCGGGTTTCATTTTTATTACACGATTTCTTCACGTTTCTGATATCTTCAAAAGTCTTTTTCATTTTAGTGCACTTAAAACGGACACGGATGTTTTTAATGCGTTCGTAAAATCGGTATTTTAATTTTGATTGACAGCGTGAATATTATCTCCACTCAATCTCACCGTATATCACGGGTGAGAACTGTTTCGGGTAACGCCTTAATCCTCTTCTATGCTTCTAGTTGATAGCAATTTTCATAGTACCGACTAATTCAGAATATTTAAATTCCATAATAGATCAACAAATAGTATACTAATGAAGCGTGTACTAATAAAAACCCCTGTATTAATTTAATTAAATAAACGTAATCTCCACACT